ACATAACTTTAAACAGAAGTAATCGCATGACTTGCGCTAAAATTGAAAGTAAAAAGTACGTAAGCCACCGTGCACTCAGCTACCACCACTTTCGCCTACCTAGTTAATTTTAGCGCACAGAGTTAGTCAAACAATCGACACATACACATTCCCATTCTGATGGCCACCAGAGTTGGAATCCGCCAAGGTTGTGGTTTGTGGTTCATCCGCACCTGTGGAGCTGGAGGAGGCGGGAGCAGGAGCGGTAAGTAGGGCGGGGCCAAAGATGATGGCTAGGCCAGCGGGAGTCATGCGGTTGCGTGCCGAATACTCCGTGAATCGATGGAGGAATCGGAATAGGTAGCCTGCATTCCGCTCATACTCTGGCGGCATTCGATGAGCAATCTGTTGAAGTCGACGTAACTGAACGGCCCTGTCTTTTCTGGAAGGAAGTGTTCATAGGAAATGGGCAAGGCTGATTCTGTATGGCATTTACACACATTTTTATATAAAAAAGACACCTCTGCAGTAGTAATGGGTGACAGTGGATTTCAGTTTTGTGCCTTTTGGAACGCTGCTTGCTCACAAACCTAACAGCTGGAGATCAATTTCGCTCCATCGTGCCTGTTTCGTGAAGTCAACTTTATAGTCCAGGCAGAAATGACGTTGAGAATTAAAATGCGGGGTGAAATTGCCCCTCAATCGTGGCATGGCATCGCGATTATTGAATTAAAACTATTTTAAGGGAGTATCCACAGAATGTGACACAGCTACTTAAGTGAGCAGTTAGTAGCATATGCATACATTTCCAAGGCTCGAGCCCATTCACCAAGTAGGTGTGAGGTGAGAAGAGGTTGAGGAAGGCTGCGTAGGTACTGCTTCATTGCGTCTGCTACCACATAGGGGTCGTACTGCGAGATGACAGTTCCTGCCCGTAGCGAATTCAAAGCACTCTAAACGAAGAAATACGTTTTGAGAAGGTATAAAGGGATTTGCGACGTTTATATTTTTCTTCATTGCAATAACCTGCCTTTAAAGTGTCAACTTTGGTCTTGCTTCCAGCGATTCGAAAAATCCCCTAAAATGATTGGAGAATGATTAATTTGCTGTTTACAGGTTTATTAAGCATACGACAGATAATTTGCAAAAAAATTGTTCTTTTTTCACCCCTGGAAAAAGTTTTCATGGTCAAAGAAATGTTAAAATCTGCTCCACAAACTTTGACACATCAAATCAATGACGTGAAATACAAAGACCCATTATTACCTGAATGCCATAAATAATAAAGCAGTCAATTCCCTTAAAACAGTTTGAATGTTTCTAATAAGTTGCCAGTGTTT